GGGCTCTTGACCCACCCCTATTTATCTCAGTTACCTTCACAAGCCACAGCTGCTGCCCAACTAAGGACCCTGCAGCTGCAGCTCGTTTAGAGTAACTTAGAACCACATAGGTCTTACAATACAACATATATTCAGGCCCCCACACAGCTCCTGGCCAGATCAGAAGCTCCACCTGAAGCTGGAGAGAAATATCTTTGTGCTATCAGAGCTGAGGGACGCTCCAGCTCAGCTGCAGCTCTGGGATCTCACATGAAGCCCTGGCACTGGGGGAGGCTGCTTCAGTATTTCCACAGACAAGACATTCCTGAGAGGTGACCTGACAGCAAGCTTCCCTCCTGCCATTCCAATTTCTCTGTCATACTGAATGAATGCAGCTCTTTTTTTCCTTTTTTAGACACCTTAAAAGCCCATAAATCAAATGTTGAGATCTGCTGTGGCCAAGAAAGGAAGCATTTGGAAAAAGAACAGGGGTTCAGGAAAGATGCCACTCCTGGTCACTTACCCCTAAAACCAGGATCCAGACATCTCCAAATACTTCTCAGTCTGAAGAAAAGAAGGCTCTAGGGAGACCTTCCAGTACTTAGTGGGGGCAGGTAGTGAAAGGATAAGAGGGAATAGTTTAAAACTGACAAAGGAAAGATTTAGATAAGATATTAGGAAGAAATTTTTCCCTGTGAGGATGGTAAAGCACTGGCACATTGCCTAGAGAAGCTGTGGCTGCCCCATCTCTGTAAGTGTTCTGGGCCAGGTTGGACAGGTCTTGGAGCAACCTGGAATAATGGAAGGTGTTCCTGCCCATGGCAGGGGAATGAAATGAAATGAGCTTTGAGGTCCCTTCCAGCCTGAACTGTTTTGTGAAACACACCAACCCTTTCATGGCTTTCTCTGAAGACTAGAGCATCCATCTGCATCTCCAAGAGTCCTGCCTGTCAGTTAGGGGTTTTGACCACCAATACACTGGGAAGAAATAAAGGAATTGTTTTCCAGATTGCCCTAAAAAGTGGCTTTATTTACAAACTGTATGTCAACAGCAAGATGACTCTTCTTGCAGGGATGGGTTTGGGGAAGGTCCCCCAAATCACTGGGAGTAGAGCCCAGAATAGCGCTACTGCGCCACAAGCAAGTGCCATTTGCTATAAGCAAGGCCAAACAGACTTGGGTAGAGGTGGCCAAACCCCCTGGACTGCCCAAGTCTTCTCTGCAGCCTTTTGCCAAGGCAAACAGAGTGTTTGTCCTGGAGCTGTGACACTGCCCTCATGGAGGGAGACAGAGCCCCAAGTGCAGGGTTCAGCATGGCCCACACTCACAGACTGGCTGCAGGCAGCCCTGGCTAGAGACACAATTTCACCTCGAGGGCTGAGGAGCTGGGGACAAATCTGCCTCAGCACTCAGAAGTTGTTCTCTTGTGGTCACTGGCAGCGTGGAAACCCTATCACAGACACCAGTGCTATATGACCCCAAGAAACCTGAAAGCTGTAATGTTTTGGAGCACCTGTACATAACCAGACCTGATATTTGCTAATGAGCCACATCACACGCAAGTCAGTTGGGTGTGCTGCTCCCAATGGGTCATGTCGTACCAACAGGTGGAGGGCCTGGCTGTCTGTCACACCTCTGGGCTTTCTGCTGCCTGATGGCTGCCCCATGCTCCAGGACAACCATGTCCTTATGGATCAAGAGGATGAGGTTTCATCTGTTACTCTCTGGTGACACGTCTGTTTGCCTCTGCACTTGTCTCCGGCAGGGGCCCTTCTGTCTCATTTACCATTTACTTGAAATAGTAAACTATTTCAAGACCAGACTCTTTTCTGAACATATTTTCTCCTTAGAGACACTTGATTCTCCCCGAGACAGTCACAAGGAATTAAGAAGACTTGGAAAAATATTCCTGAGTATATTCTTCAGGGCTGCTCCTCCCCAGGACCATCCTTCTCCTTTCCTGCAGCTCCATGCCGTGTCCTCTTGCACTACCCGAATTTTGTGGGCTCACCATGAGTAGATATTTCTTGGCAATGCTGCACCTTCTGTGTGCAAAACATGAGAAGTTTTCCTAGCTGTAATAAATCTCACTACTTACTGTTCTTTTCCATTATTTTTATAGTGGTTTGTAGACTTTTCTCTGATGCATAACTGGCTGCACTACCAACATCCTTTTTTGGTTCCCTCCCTGCTTTGCACAAACTCAGATATGAAAGCTGTAGACTGGAGACCATCTGTGTAGGGAGCAATACTCTCATGCCAGGGCTTTGCTTCTTCTTGTCTAGATGGCTTACATGAGAAAGAACTAAACAGACACCTGGTTGGGAGTTTTCCCTGCCCAGCTGTGATTCTGCCAACACCTGCATTGGACTCCTAATCCTTGCTGCTATGCCTAATATATACAACAGGCAGGGTGAGCTGTTGCATTAAAATCCCCTATCCATACACAATGAGATTCACAGAGCTTTTCACAGAATCACAGAATAGTCTGAGATGGAAGGGACCCAGACGGATCATCAAGTCCAACTCTTAAGTGAATGGCCCATAGGATGATCAAACCCACAGCCTTGGAGTTACTAGCACCATGCTAGTAACTGAGCAACTGAGATTGCTAGTACTCCATTCAGCATTTCACATGTGATCTCCAATTAACTTTGGAGATAGAAGATTAATTTATCCACTGGAAAGCAACTATGAACAAGTATGCAGCAAAAACTCCCACCAGCATCCCATGATGCTCTGCTGGCTCCCCATGAAGCGCTTTCCCATCCTTCCCTTTTCTGGAGGTCATTCTCCTAAGTCCCAACTTCAGTCACTGAACTACAGTCAACTGCAGCTCCATCATGTATGGCAGTTACAAACCAGCACTTTGCTCTTTTTGACTCATTTACAGCTGTCAGGTGCATCCCAATCCAGCTATCTCCTTCCACGATATTCCTTCTCCCTCCTCAGTGGTATGATGGCACACAGAGAAATCTTAAAATAACCTTTCACAAAAATTCTGCCATTCCTTGCAAGTTGTGCCTGCATTTCAATGTCTCTTATGCTGTGTTTGGTCCCTCAAGAAGCTGCTCTGCCTGCCACCCAAACCATTCCCCCATTCCCACTCCAGCAACTGTGATGCAGGACACAAAATCCAGCTGTCACAATGCAAAGCTTCTCCCAATTACCTCACAGCATTTATGTTTTATACTTAATGCCACACATCTTTAACATTCTGCATATCAGTAGGTGGTGTTACAAGTCTCCTTTTCTCCCAGTACCTGTTAAAATGTTCCTGGCCCCAGGTACACACGGTAAAGTGAACCAGCAGAATAATGAAGGATACCATCAACATCCACCAAGATCATAAAATGGATCAAAGTCTCCATCTGATGTTACAAAAATTCCTCACAATTCTTAAGATGCTCCTACAGTGGACTTCTCAAACCACCCCATGGAAACACAGCAGGTACTGCCAGACTGGTCACTGAGGAAACACCACAGAACACACACTGGAACTGCCAAACTTACCACCGAAAGCAAAAAGAGCAGGCAGCTTGTCCCACCAACTACCATGTGTGACAGACACCATTTCTCCAGGTTCCCTTGAACCCACATCCTATGCCTAGTCTTGTGGCTCAGCCTCAGTGGCAGCAGGAGCATCCAGTCGGTCCAAAACCCATCAGCTACACCTCAACGAGGCTGGGGTGGTGGGCTCCCAGCTGAATGCGCTTCCCTGTGCTGGGCAAAACTTACACCAACATGCTGCATGCTGTTACTTCTTCTCTTGAATCCTTTGGCCTCCAGTCCTCTAATTTTTCTCCATGTTTCAGGGAAGCAGTTGCTCAAGAGACACCCAGCACCTATCAGTTACCAGCATCCCAAAAGGAAGCTGGGCTTCACATGTCTGCATACCTGGAAGCTGGTGCCTGCTTGTTCCAACAGCTACAGCCCAGCAGCCTGACCTCAGCTCTGCCACAAACCTGGGAGAGGGGAGAGTGTGGCCAACCACTTGTGTGCTCTGATGGCAGTCATGCCAAGGTGCATCCCTCAGTGCAGGCTCACACTCCTCTCTGCCTGGTGCATCTCCAGACCATGAATCCAGCAGACATTTGTGAACACTGCAGAGCCCTGGGTGCAGGGCAGGATGTTTCTCCACAGCAGGGACCATGTGGTGTGCCTAAACCCCTTTCCACACTATGAAACTGGGCAGCACCTTTGCCATCCAGTGGGAAGGCAAGTCCCTCAACAAGCAAAGGCATTGGAGAACCTCAGGGAGGAGCAGGCAGGGACAAATTCCAGTTGTGGCACTTGACTCACACTGCCTGCTCTTCATGATGTGAGCTCCAGGGATCTCACATGCTCTGAGATCCCATGGCCTCTCTTTCAAGGGCTCCCCATTGCTGGCAAGTGACCCCTTCCCTGCACAGCTGATGCAGGGAGGCAGGGAGGCTTGGTTTCTGCCCCCTAATTCTCCCATCCTCTTCTGATATGCGTTCTTTCATACTCCTCATTTGAAGTGCATAAGTCAGATGGAAAACTCTTCCCAGGTTTAACTAAGGATAAATTCTTTTCTCCCCCTTGCTATGACAGTGGCTGGATTAAGACCTTAGCTATATGTGAACAGTGGAGGGAAGCCCACATCATGGCCAGAACCTGAGCCACATAATCAGCCAAGGATTAAATCTCTTTGGGGCAGGGAAAGGAAACACTAGCTTAGAGCAAAATATTTAGATTCTGTGGAATATTGGCTAATTAGAATATTTCTCTTCAAATAGAACATTTATTGGAACACTGAAACAAATATTTGAGAACACTACCAAAGCCTTGAGTAATTCACGAGCAAAAGTGTTCCCTCATTTTTCAGGCAGCTTCTCCATTTACTGTTTGGAGTTGGGATGACTTCAGGTGGGACTGAGGTGCACGGACAGGTCTGGTGGCATGCATCCCTGTGGCCTGGAAATGCTGAATCCCTCCTGGCAAGGGTCACCTCCCAGTTTGAACCAAATGGCTGGGTGTGCTGGAGTGTGGAGTGTGCTGGAGTGCAAGACGGGCTGTCAACTTCCAAGACCCTGCCAGCAGCAGCTTGGGAAAGGACCTGCAGAGCTCTTCACGTCTTTCAGTCCTGTCTGGAGAGCTGCAGAGGGATGTGGACACAAATGAGATTCCTTAAATGGCCTTTTCTGAGATTCTGATGAAGTGAGCTGCTAATGTAAGTCACACTCACAGCTGCCATGTCAGGAGACTTGTTCAGTGATGCTGAGGGTCACATTCCACTACCATGGCTGCAGAAGCAAGGTAAACCCACCCGCAGAACCCTAGCAGATTTGGTGTAATTCTCCCAAGCCCACCCTGGCCCCAAACAGCTCCATCACATGCTTTGCCTTCTATTTTGCCCCCATTTCCCCCTACCATGTGAACAACCTAGCCCAATTCTTCCTCTCTCACGCTCAATTTCTGCTGATTTTGCACCCTTGTTCAGTGATTGTAGCCATGGTGAGTGATCCCAGTCAGGCAGCACTGCTGATACTCACCCCTTTGTCTGGCTATTTCTTGCTTTTTGCTCATCCTTTGGAAAGGGCTGGCATCTCTCTGGCCTAGCAGTCACCTCTCCATTTAACCTCAGCCCAGAGCCAGACACTTCCTTTAAATTTTGCACTACTGTCATTAATACTGGTATTTTCCTACATTTCAGCCAGTGCCACCTGATGCAACACCAAAACTGACTTTCAACACAGGCTGGAGTCTCTTCATTGGCTTTCACATACCCATTATCCCACATGCCAGTAGGAGACAAGCCACCAGGACACTCCTGTGAGCCTATGGATACTCTGCTCTTCCTTACATTAGGTGGGGCAGGGTTAGGGAAGGAGTTTGGGAGAGGCACACAGGCAAAACCACTTTCACAAAACAAAATCCATTGTCTTTTCAAAATATTATGCAGATGATGTATTATGCAGATCACCAATGCAGGACAAAGAAGTGAGGCTTAGGATGTATTGAACAAGCAAGATGATATCACACATCCTCCAAAGGAATGGCATTACAGGATTGATGAGGACTGGTGAAACCATCATGAGATGATCCAACTGTGCTGATAAAACATTTCCTGACTTTGTTTCTCTTAAAGAAAATAACTAAGTTTGGATGGAAGATCTGAGTAACAAGAAATAACTTCAGGGTGAAGTTGCTGAAAAAATGACACTGCCTCACAGATTCTTTTTTTCGCCTCCCAAGAACTTCCCACAGATTCTTTTTTTTGCCTCCCAAGAACTTCCCAGCTTCCTGATAGTCCTAGCTCAGGCTAGGGACAGTCTCCAGAGCTGCGTACTGACATCTTTTTCCTACAGTACTTCTGCTCCTCATACCATCTCTTGACTGCCAGACTGACCAGCTTCCCCCAAACCCTGACATTCCAGGGAATATATTACACATCTGTGAAGTTCCCCTCATTGTCTCCCACCAAGGCAGTCAGCTCTTCATGTTGATGTCAGATTCCTATAAGGCAGAAGGGCAGCCCAGGGCTCTCATGCACCTAGCACTTGTCTAGAGCTAAAGCTAGTAGAGATGAATGCCTTCAGAGATGACAAAAGACATTTGATCCATGATGGCATTCCCAGCAAATGCTAGAGGAGCAGTTATCTAGCCATCACTGAGAGATGCTTTGATGGAAATTACTGGCTAAGCCCTGCTCTCTCTGTAGCACTCTCCATGTATGTTCTGATGTGGTGATTCATCTGTTCATCTCTTCACTGGTACCACAGCTCAATCTACTTGGATGCTACTTCCATGAGACACCCAAGATTTTCCCATAAGCTTTTCATTATAAGAGTATGTTTTTGGTTGCTTTCAAGTTGCCAGACTGAAATTACCTGAACTACCCATGTCAGGCACACATCCATCAGCCTGAGTTAAACGTACACTGAGTTGGACCAAACCCACAAGAAACACAGTCCACGTATTTCAAATAATGACACAGGAAAAACTATTTATTCATAAAAGGAATTGTACTAGTTAGCTGCCTTGTTAAGAAGTCTGCACACCTTCTTATGTTGGTTGAAGCCACTAAAAACATCATTGTTCCAGCTCAGAGCAGAAAGCCTCTGGGCTTGGGTCCTTTGCGGCATACCTGTGGACCCTTTTGGACCTTGACCAAAGTATTAATTTCTGACAGTGAGTTCATGCCATACATAACTCTTTTGACTTTGTGGGGCAAAGTCTTGTAAGACACCACGATCGCTCCTTTTCTGCCATCTTCTTGTAGGCTCTTCTGCCTGTCTTTCCTGCCAAGGCACAGGGTGTTTTCTGCAGTAGGACTGAGGCGGTGACATGATGCTTGTAATAGCTGGGATATTTTTTTCATGTTATCACTTCATTAATCAAACTTGGGCTCAGGACACTGGGAGCCTGACTGGCAGCAGAGAATCCTCCCTGTTCACCATTCTGCTGACAATTCACTCAAAGATGTCTCCCTGTTCTCAATCACCCTTTCTACTCTTCTGCAAACTCATTTACAAAGTAATTCCTGACAACCAGTGTCTCACCGAGAATGGTACCTAGACTGAAATAACAAATTTAAATCCATGAAGTGACATTCCCTGAAAACAAAGCATTGAGAGATTGACACCTGGCACTTCAGAAAAGGTCTCTGAACTGCTATGCCAGTACCTTCCACATATAGGGGCTCATCTTTGAACATCTTGCTCTGCATGTCTTGTAAGGACTGATACACAGACTGTTCACAAAACTACTGCAGAATTTAGGCTTCCCAACATAGGAGAAAAAGACACTTCCATGAAGAGAGGTCCAACTTCATGATACTTATGTTTAGTCAGCAAATTGCTCTGCTACTTGATGCAAACGATGGAGAAGCTGGGCAGATGTGCCTATGAACACAAGAAACAGGGCTGCCTCAGGTCATACAGGGAATAACTCCTTACTAGGAGAAGCCAGGAGGAAAACACTTCCTTCTAAAAGTTTGACTTCAGGGTTGTGTTCCTGGATTGTATTGAATTGACATGGAGATACAACTCATGCTCAAGAAAAGGAATGCTTCTGATGCTTTTTGACATAGCTCTTCTCTGTGAGACTGGCATGCTCTGTCTAAAGGAGAACACCTCACGTTGGAGGCAGCAGCATTCTGTACTCACAGCAGAAGTTCCATTCTGTACTGGGAGACAATGAGAACTCATCACACGGCAGAGGCAGCATACGGCATGACATGAAAGAATGAACCAAAAACCTGTGAGGCAACATGACTTCAAGCCCACTAAATGAAGCTGCTTTGAAATTCTTTTTACAAACTCAGGGCAATGGAAAAGAGGTCCGTGCCAATCTGGTTACTGGGGCTTGCAACTGCACCCAATCTTCTTAGAAGAACCAAGGTGAATGCTTGGTAGAACAGCACTGACCTAGAACTTCAGCAGCTTCCGTCATGAGGTAGACAGAGGACCTTGCATCCAAAGGCAATGCCGTTTTTTCCTTCCAGAAAACAACGGATAAAGGCAGGATCAGTAAACACCTGAGGATTACTGGTGATGTGTCAGATTTATGTTTCACTGCCTGTTTATTTCATTCTGACAACTGAAAACCTAATTTCTACAATGCAGAGTTTTAAATTTCTTCATGTACATAAAGACCGAATAAAGCTACAAACAGTTAACTTGGGAGACCTCACAGGTGTGTGAAAAAGACACTTTACTGCACTCATAGCACTTGTCTGGTGCAGAATCTAGTACTTACCACTATGATGACTCCTGCATTAAGTATTGGCTTAGCAGGCTAGCATCTTGACAAATAAGGAGAATAAGAACAATTGTTGACTCAAGGCCCACACAGATGTAGAAGCAGTTACCTTCAACTTGCAGAACAATGGCCACATAAATAAACTCTTCAATGACCTCAGGTTATGGCCTGGACTCCAGTGGAAAGAGGCTTAACAAAATGCTGTGCCAGAGTAAGGACCCAGCAAACACTACATGGGACTGCATGGGAACTTACAGCACAGCCTAGAAACACAGATTTTGAACAGTGTGGAATCAAAAGTCTAGTTTTACAAGGAGACTTGGGGATTATCTCAGAGTAAGAAACTTAGCCTTAGGGTTAAAGAAGAGCAGTACAGCTTGCCCCAAGCTCCACTTGTACAGGCTGCACAAACCACCAACCCACAGGTCATTTATGAGGAAAGTTATGTGCACCAGAGCAAACTGCTGCCTTCTACTACACTGGAGACTTCAAAAATGAGGGGGTACTGCCTGTGACACCTGAGCAGCCAGATTTATTTTGCTCATTACTGTAAGATGCGGAGATCTTGGGAATGAAAGCAGAGATTCCACAGATCATAGAAGAGAAATTCAGGGAAATGGTGCTGGTAGCAGAAGAAAAAAAAAAAAAGAGAGGTTGCCTGTCATAACCAGTATAACTGAAAGATCTAGAACTATTTAAACAAAGTTTAGGGAGAGAGTTTCCAAGGAAAAACAGCTGCCCCAAAAGACGGCAAAGGTGAATTTCCAGTGGGAAGACTTTCATCTCTAAAGTACTGAGAAATTCAGCAGTTTGCAGCAGTGGGACACAGGCCAAACAAGCCTGTTATACCTCCATCCACGGACAGAGAGGTTCCTATCAAAGCATGGCTCTGCCACGGCCAAGGCAGAGCTGTGATGTAATCTAAATGCTGCTTTGCAAAAGGTGAATTCATTCCATTACACCTTGGGCCAATGTCTGCCAGGTGAGAGAGCCAGCAAATGAAGGTATAAATCTTTCAAGACTTGGGCAAGAGAGACCAAAGAGCAGAAGTCAGGAACATGTCTGAAACCTACTGCAGAACAGCTAGGGAAAGTGTAAAAATTAAATTCTCACTTAACCTTGGTCAAATTGATCACCACCAAATGGTGAGATCGTAATGAGCAATTTCCTGCCTGGGCTGACCAAATGAAATAGAACTGCATTGTACTGGTCTTCTACCAAGGGCCAGATCCACAGAACAGTCAGATCCCATAGGAAAAGCAGGAAGGTGGTCAGCTGCTCTGTCCACATCGCTGCAGTACTCAGATAATGTTGTCAATCTCTTCAACACCAGGAAAGAAACACTGGCTGCTCCCTGAAGGTAAGATGACGAGACAAAGTTCCTGATAGGCACAGAGATACTCAGATTACCTAAGAGGACAAGGTTGATATGATGCATAAGTTCAGGCTCATATTCCTCAGGAACACATATTTGGGTAATTACTTTGCCCTTACACTGACAGGATTTATATTACTTTTGAATATCTGCTGCTGACATTGACTACAATGTAACAAAATAAAACCTGAGTACAACAGATGATGCTACAATCTACAATAGACTCATTGATTGTCATAAACCCAATATACCAAAACATAGTTCTCAACAGCAATTTTCCTAATTCTTTAATGCAGTTCAGTGTCCTGCTATGCAAAGCTTTTCAGAGCTAAGGTCTAAAAGGGCCACTGCACACACATGCACAGTGATTTTTTGATGCCTTCACAAGACATTTTCTCTAACACACAGAGAAATCCCTGCCAGGAGGAATGATACAACTTGCTGGCCTGAACAGGCCAAACTGAGGGTAAACAGAACTAAATGCTGTTCTGGGAAGTGAAGTTTTCAGGCCAAAGCTGCAGACTTCTCAGCTCAGGCTCATACACAACTGGGGATGGGGGTCAAACAACTCAAATATGAAACTCAGGTTTTAGCCATTTAACAATTATGAGTAACATTTACATTTAAGTTTTCACCACATGTGTTGGATACCACAGAATCATGGAATGGCTTGGGATGGAAAGAATCTTAAAACTCATCTTATTATACCCCCTGCCATGGGCAGAAACATCTTCCACTAGGCCACGTTGCTTCAAAAGCCCTGTCCAACCTGGTCTTTCACACTTTGAGAGATGGAGCAGCAACAGCTTCTATGGGCACCCTGTGCCAGGGCCTCGCCACTCTCCCATGGAAGTTCTCCTCATTATTCCAATAACCTTGCCCTCTGACAGTGGGAAGCCATTAGCCCTTGTCCAAAGTCCCTCTCCAGCTCCCTTGGGGCCCACTGAGGTACTGAAAGACTGCAGTAAGATCACCCTGGATGCTTCTCTTCCCCAGGCTGAATAATCCCAACTCCCATAGCCTTCTTTTTTTTCCTCTAATGAATAAGATTCTATTGTTGGAAAATTATCAGACAAAATTAAAGTGCTTCTCTTTTTTTTTAACAAAATCTTTACCTTTTTCCTTTGGTGCCCTATAAATAAAGTATCAAATAATGTTTATCCTTTCTAAATCTGCTATCTTACATGTTTCATTCTTGCTGGACATTCTTCAAGAAGAAATATACCACAATAATTTCTGCACAGGCTGAATTCCTTCAGATTCTGGATATTAAACTCAGATTCCTATTATCCAAGACACAGCCATGCTGTTTCAGTGTCCATTTCAGAAGAATGATTGGAGTTGTTTATCCATTGGACAAGTCAGACAAGTATTCCTTGTCTTCAGGGATCCTGCATTCAGGTTGTATTTCGTGGGGATGGGGGCAATGATGGGTGCAGAACAGAGGTAGGACAGCCCCTGAGCTCAATTCTTTCACATTTCAAGATGAACCAAAAGCACAGAATTGAAGCAAGAATATTTATGATTTTATATACCCTTTGCATTAACGTATTTTGGTAAGTACGAGCACTTTCAGGAGCTTCTCCTCGGTGACTTCGTAGTGCCTTCACCAGCGCAGCAGGACCGGCACCCGCCGAAATCCGCGCGGAACCGTCATAAGAGATCAGCGGCGGGATCCTTCCATCCAGATGG